AGGACACCCAAATTCCTCAGTTCCCTCAGAATTCTGCAACCGCACTCCATTTAAATAATATTCTGCTATCTATTCTTCCTGTCAAAGTGGACATATTCACATTTTCCTTCTTTCCGTCATACTCCATCTGCCATTTTTTTTGCCCACTCACTTATCCTACCTGTGTTCTTTTGTAGATTAAATGTTCTCTTTATAACTGACTTGCACACACAGCTTTGTGCACATTTAGAAGCCAAACATTTCATTCCTTCATGTGAATCTTTAATACAAATACGCCCCAGCACTGATCCCCAAGACACTCCACTCCTTACATCTTGTCACCCCAAAAATGACTCATTTATCATCGATAAAACGTGGAGCTGGAGGAACACAGCAGGTCAGACAGCATTGGAGGAGCAGGAAAGTCAGGTCCTGATGAAGGGTCCAGACCTGAAACATCGACTTTCCTGCTCCTCAGATGCTGTCTGACCTGCAATGCACCTCCAGCTCCACATCTTAACAACTCTGACTTCCAGCATCTGCAGTCCTTTCTATTTCCAAGACTCATTTACACCTACTTGGCTTCTTGTTAGGTAAACAATCCACTATCCATGCTATATGCTACACCATGAGCTCTTATTTGGTATATGTACCTTTGATGTAGTAACATGTCAACTAGTGCTAGTGAGGGTAAGAACAGGAGGAGATGGCAGATGAATGCGTGGCTGAAGAATTGGTGCGGGGGCAGGGATTCAGATTCCTGGATCATAGGGATCTTTTCTGGGGCAGAGATGATTCATTCAAGAGGGACAGGTTGCACCTGAACTAAAGAGGGACCAATATCCTCGCGGGTAGATTTGCTAGTGACACAAGGGAGGGTTTAAACTAGATTGACTGGGGGTTGGGATCTTCAACAGCAGGGAGGCAAGTGTGAGGCTGGAAGGAGATACAGTAATCAGAAATAGCAAGTTGAAGAGACAGGACAGGATGAAACAGGACATGGAGCGAGGAATGCCTGTTGGACTAAATTGCATCTATTTCAATGCAAGACCAATGAACTCAGGGCGTGGATACGTATGTGGAACTGCAATATTATAGCCATTACAGAAACATGGCTAAGGGAGGGACAGGATTGGCAGATTAATGTGTCAGGGTACAGGTGCTTTAGGCAGGACAGAGTTGGAGGAAAGATGAGAGGGGCAGTTGCATTTTTGATTAAGGGGAGTATCGCAGCAGTAGTCAGAGATGAAACAACTGAGGGATCATCCAGTGAGGCTTTGTGGGTGGAGCTAAGAAATAAGAAGGGGATGGTGACATTATTGGGTTGTACCATAGGCCCCCAAATAGCCAATGGGAATTAGAGAAACAAAGATGCAGGGAGATTGCGGAGACTTTCAGGAGATACAGGGTTGTCATAGTGGGGGATTTTAATTTTCATAACAGACTGGTACTGTCATAGTGTTAAGGGCTTAAATGGGGTGGAATTTGTTAAATATGTTCAGGAAAGTTTCCTCAAGCCGTATACAGAGGATCCTACTCAGGAAGGGGCAAAACTCGACCTATTTTTGGGAAATAGAGCAGGAGAGGTGATTGAGGCAACCGTGGGGGAGCACTTTGGGACTAGTGATCATAGTTCTATTAATTTTAAAATCGTTATGGAGAAGGACAAAACTGGTCCACAAATACAAGTTCTAAATTGGGGCAAGGTGAATTTTGGTGGAATCAGAGAGGAGCTTGCAGGGGTTGATTGGAGTAGTTTGTTTGCAGGCAAAAGGACCTCCGGCAAGTGGGAAGCCTTAAAAAGTGTAATAGATAGAGTTCAAGGTCTATATTTTCCTGTGAGGGTAAAGGGCAAGGTTGGCAGGAGTAGGGAACCCTGGATGACAGGGGATATTGAGCCTTTGACCAGAACAAAGGAGGCATGGCTCAGGTACAGGCAGCTGGAATCAAGGGAATCCTTGGAAGTATATAGGGGGTATGGGAGTTTACTGAAGAAGGAAATCAGGAGGACAAAAAGGGGCCACGAGATAGCTTTGGCTGAGAAGATTAGGGTGAATCCAAAGAGATTCTTTAAGTATATTAAAGGAAAAAGAATAACTAGGGAAAGAAGACCCATCTAGAACAAAAATGGACATGTATGTGTGGAACTGCAGGAGATGGGTGAGATCCTCAATGAATATTTCTCCTCTGTGTTTACCGTGGAGGAGGACATGAAGACTTGGAAACTTGGGGAAGTTAGTGATGCTATCTTTGGGACAGTCCATATCACAGTAGAGGATGTGTTGGTAGTATTAGAATGTATGAAGGTGGATAAATCTCATGGTCCTGACCAGATATATCTAAGAACCTCGCAAGAGGCTAGAAAAGAAATTGCGGGGGCTCAGGTTGATATATGTGCATCATCATTCACCAAGGGCGAGGTCCCGGAAGACTGGAGGGTAGTGAATGTTATGCTCTTATTCAAGAAGGGCTGCAAAGAAAAATCTCTGAACTACAGACCAGTAAGCCTAACATCTGTTGTAGGTAACAAGGTGCAGGGCTGGATGAACACAGCAGGCCAAGCAGCATCATAGGAGCAGAAAGGCTGACGTTTCGGGCCTAGACCCTTCTATCTGTTGTAGGTAAGTTACTTGAGAAGATTCTGAGGGATAACAAAACATGCATTTGGAAAAATAGGGTTTGATTAGGAGTAGTTAGCATGCTTTCGTGCGTGGGAGATCATGCCTCACAAATCTGTTAGAGGGCAGGGCAGTAGAGGTAGTCTATATGGATTTCAGTAAGGCCTTTGATAAGATTTCATATGGTAGGCTGTTTTGGAAGATTAGATCACATGGAATCCAGGGAGAGCTGGCAAATGGGATACACAAATGGCTTGACGGTAGGAAACAGAGAGTAATGGTGGAAGAATGCTTATCACACTGGAGGCCTGTGACTAGTGGTGTGCCTCAGGGGTCAGTGATGGGCCCATTGCTGTTTGTTATCTATATCAATGATTTGTTTGAGAATGTACAAGGCGTGATTACTAAGTTTGTGGATAACACTAAAATAGGCGGTATTGTGGACAGTGAGGAAGATTATCAGAAATTGCAGCAGGATCTTGATCAGCTGGGGCAGTGGGCCAAGAAATGGCAAATGGAGTTTAATATAGATAAGTGTAAGGTGTTGCATTTTAGAAAGTCAAATGAAGGTAGGAGTTTCATGGTGAACGGTAGGCCTTAAACAGTGTAGTGGAGCAGACGGGCCTTGGAGTTCAGGAGGACAGTTCTCTGGAAGTGGAGTCACAGGTAGACAGGGCAGTGAGGAAGGCTTTCGGCATACTGGCCTTCATCAGTCAGGGCACTGAATATACAAGTTGGGAAGTTATACTGCAGTTGTACAGAACATTGATGAGGCTGCTGTTGGAGTATTGTGTTCACTTTTGGTCACCTTGCTAAAGGAAGGATGTTATTAAACTGGAAAGAGTGCAGGAGAAATTTACAATGATGTGGCCAGGGCTCAAGGGACTGAGTTATAGGGAGATGTTGGACAAGCTAGGACATTTTTCTCTAGAGCGTAGGAGACTGAGGGGTGATCTTATAGAAGTATATAAGATCATGAGAGGCATGGATAGGGTGAATGCACTCAGTCTTTTTCCCAGGGTTGGGGAATCGAGGACTAGATGGCATCAGTTTAAGCTAAGAGGGGAAAAAATATGTGGAAACCTGATGGACAACATTTTTATACAGAGGGTCGTATGCATATGGAATGAGCTGCCAACAAAAGTGGTTCAGGCAGGTACATTAACAACATTTAAAAGGCATTTGGACGAATACATGGATAGGAAACGTTTAGAAGGATATGGGCCAAGTGCAGGGAAATGGGGTTAGCGTGGATGGACATTTTGATCGATATGGACCAGTTTGGGCCAAAGGGCCCGTGTCCGTGCTGTAGGACTTTATGACTCCATAACTACCCACTGGAAATCTAAATACAGCACATGTACAGGTTGGCGTTTGTCCACATTGCATGTTATATCCTCAAATACCTCCAATAAGTCAGTCAAACCTGATTTCCCTTTCCAATTAATCCGATTTGTAACATATGCTGTGTGCATTCAGAGTCAGAGACTTCAGTAAACATAAAAAAAATTTAAAGAACTGCAGATGCTGGAAATCAGAAACAAAAGCAGAAATCACTGGAAAACGCAGCGGGTCTGGCAGCATCTGTGGAGAGAAAGCAGAGTTAACATTTCAGGTCAAGTGACCCTTCTTCAGAATGTTACTAGACCTAAAACTTCAACTTTGATTTCTCTCCACAGATGCTGCAAACTTGCTGAGTTTTTACAACAATTTCTGTTTTTGTTTCAGTGCCTTTAGTTCTGTCTTTTTACTATGTTCGTAACAATGAGAGGAAGAGGGAAACTGGCAGCTCTTTCAAAAAGCCAGCAGAGTCAGGAGAGGGCAAACAGCTTCCTTCTATGCTGTAGTATTCTATGTCTCTATGAAAATTAGGGGTATCATGTGCAGAAGAGAAAAGTTGAATATAGTTCTCATCTGTCAGAATCTAGCACCCCCATTTGAAAGTTAAATTATGTGGATATTAGCTGAGAACAGAACTGCACCGACTGTATTAATCCCCAGTCAACAGTCTGCCAGGATTCATTGTCAAGGCTCGTAAATGAACAGCAGCCCCTTGGGTGAGCTACTGGAGGATGCTGGGAGCTGTGTAAATAAACAAGAATGAAAGACATAAAAAGAAGAGACCCAGTCACGGGGGACAGATATAGTGAAAAACTCTCCCTGACATGATATTTGAATACAAAAATACAATGCATAATGACTGAGAAGTATTGTTCACAGTTCACATTCCACAATGCCTTACAATGGCAGATCCTAAAACAAAACAGATGAACGAAAAGATTAATTAGAAACAAAAACTGACTGTTAAATTAGATTCTTATGGTGCCACAGGTATACTGATACATGAATGACAACTTAAGCATCAAGACACAACATCCATGCCTTATATATTTTTCAGTTTACCTCTCACACATCAGATGTTTTCTATGATCAGTCGTATGAATATTAAATGTAACCATGTTCTCTTTGGATTTCTTCTTGACTCTCTGAAATTTCTGGAACGCCATATAATTTCAATATTTCTTTATAAAGGAGAAAATCATGCAGACAGACAGGGAGTGGTAATTGACGAATAAATTTATCAGAACGAAGAAATTCACTTTTTAGAGTTGATCGAATTTTTAAACGACAGAGGTGGGTCAACGAAGGAATGTCATCTAAATTGGAACAGAAAATACAGGCGTGATGAAAAATATGTCAAATACAGACCAAAATTATATTCTTTGGGTCCAGCTTTCTGCTATGTCTCAGCTCCAGAGGGATTTAGTTGAAACTTAATACATGTGCTTTTTTCTTGCTATTTGCATTCATACAGCAGTTTTCAGATATTCACGCATGTTAACGTTTGAAGCTAAATTAGTCCATGGCATGTCAATTCTTTCGCTAATCCCTCTTTGTAATAACTTTGCAAGGGCTATGGTTATTACCAATTTCATTCTTAATGCATAAAAAATGCTGAAAAGTAAATGTTGAGAAAGTGGTTATTTCACTTTTGTGACAAAAACAGATATTAGTCACTCTTAATTAGCCAAATACAAAGTAATGGTTATCTCAGGACCTGGGTGCATGTTATAGAAGTTTTCCAAAAAAAAATTAGGAATTCCACAAAATCACTTGCTGAGTTGTGTTTCAATGCTGAACAGACCAGAAGATCCAAAGTTAATTTCAACTAAAAGAAAACCAGACTTCTGCAAAAGGCTTCAGCATCTCTAGATAGCGAAAGTGGAATAGAGACAAAAGACTTATCCTATCCTGAACACTCTCCAAACAATGCTCCAGAAAATGTTTAATGTTGTGATACCAGTGCTATCAATATCCATTGTTGGGTTTTCACATGAAGAATAAGTACTGGTCAGTTGTAAGCAGCTGCCCTGGAACCAAAGAAGTTTAGTTCATGTCGAAGGTAATGCCTTCAGAGGCAGATGCAGATAAAATAAGTACCAAAAAACTGCTGGCAACTGCTCCCACGAGGAGCTCAAACAGTTCATCCACTTCATCAACACCTTCCACCCCCACCTTAAGTTCACCTGGACCATCTCTGATACCTCTCTCTCCTTCCTGGACCTCTCTGCTTTCATCTCTGGCAACCACCTGGAAACCGATATCCATTTCAAGCCCACCGACTCCCACAGCTAGAATACACCTCCTCCCACCCACCTTCCTGCAAAAATGCCATCCTCTATTCCCAATTCCTTCGCCTCCGCCGCATCTGCTCCCAGGATGAGGCATTCCACTCCCGTACATCTCAGATGTCCTCGTTTTTCAAGGACCACAACCTCGCCCCCCTCAGTGGTCGAGAACGCCCTCAACCGTGTCTCCCGCATTTCCTGCAACTCATCCCTCACACCCCCTCCCCGCAATAACAACAAAAACAGAGTCTCCCTCGTCCTCACGTACCACCCCACCAACCTCCGGATCCAACGCATCATCCTCCGACACTTCCGCCATCGGCAATCCGACCCCACCACCAAAGACATTTTTCCCTCCCCACCCTTATCTGCTTTCCGGAGGGACCACTCTCTCTGGGATTCCCTTGTCCGCCCCACACTCCCCTCCAACCCCACCACACCCGGCACTTTTCCCTGCAACCGCAGGGAAATGCTACACCTGCCCCTACACCTCCCCCCTCACCCCCATTCCAGGCCCCAAGAAGACTTTCCACATCAAGCAGATGTTCACCTGCACATCTGCTAATGTGGTATACTGCATCCGCTGTTCCCATTGTGGCCTCCTCTACATCGGGGAGACCAAGCGGAGGCTTGGGGACTGCTTTGCAAAACACCTACGCTCGGTTCGCACTAAACAACTGCACCTCCCAGTCGCGAACCATTTCAACTCCCCCTCCCATTCCTCAGACGACATGTCCATCCTGGGTCTCCTGCAGTGCCACAACGATGCCACCCGAAGGTTGCAGGAACAGCAACTCATATTCCGCTTGGGAACCCTGCAGCCCAATGGTATCAATGTGGACTTCACAAGCTTCAAAATCTCCCCTCCCCCTACTGCATCCCAAAACCAGTCCAGCTTGTCCCCGCCTCCCTAACCTGTCCTTTCTCCCATCTATCCCCTCCTCCCAACTCAAGCCCCACCCCCATCTCCTACCTACTAACCTTATCCCGCCCCCTTGATCTGTCCGTCCTCCCTGGACTGACCTATCTCCTCCCTAACTCCCCACTTACACTCACCTTTACTGGCTCCATCCCTGCCTCTTTGACCATCTGTCTCCTCTCCACCTATCTTCTCCTCTATCCATCTTCTATCCGCCTCCCCCTCTCTCCCTACTTATTTCAGAACTCCCTTCCCCTCCCCCATTTCTGAAGAAGGGTCTAGGCCCGAAACGTCAGCCTTCCTGCTCCTCGGATGCTGCTTGGCCTGCTGTGTTCATCCAGCTCTACACCTTGTTATCTCAGATTCTCCAGCATCTGCAGTTCCTACTATCTCTGGCAAATAGAGTCTTAAAAGAGGGATAAGGTCAAAAGTGTTGGGCCATCACTATTTTTCGTTTATTTTTCTCATTTTTGGTTTGAAACTAAGAGTCGCAGTTCAGCATTGAACTTTGAACAGTAGCTTGCTTTTCAAAAAAAAAAGGAAAAACCAAAAGAATGATGCTTGCTGTTGGGAACTGGCCTGGAAAGATAAAGCGGGTTAAGTACTGCTCTAGGAGTACTACAGACAAACTGGCACCAAGATGTCATTACGCTCAGGTGTATGAATAGGAAGGGTTTAAGAGGGATATGGGCCAAATGTTAGCAAATGGGGCTAGATTTCTTTAGGATATCTGGTCAGCATGGATGGGTTGGACCGAAGGGTCTGTTTCCTTGCTGTATATCTCTATGACTCTTGTGCTCAAGATTAGTTACTTGTAAAGTCCAGTTAGGAACAATTGAGCAATTTTAAGTATCATTGAATGTTTTGATTTCATTGTGTCATCAATCCAGAGTCTGATTTGGTCTGGCTTGCTCTCTTTGTGTCATAAAAACTGGTACCATTTCTGAACCAAGCATCCACTACAATCAAAAAAGTACTTGCAGTGTAAATCTAACAAAGTCAGGTGATAAAATTGAGATTGCCACTGATTTTATCTCTCTACACTTTCATCGGACAAGGGCATCACTGGCACGTACTGCATTTATTGCCCTTCCCTAACTGCCCTTGAACTGAAATGCTAGGTCAATGTGTAGTTAAGAGTCAACCACACTGCTGTGGATCTGAAGTTCCATGTAGGCCAGACCAGGTAAGGATGGTAGATTTCAAATTCTAAAAGGTCATTAGTGAATTAGATAAGTTTCTACAAAAATCATCATTACTGATACTAGCTTTGTAATTCCATATTTTATCAAATCAATTTAAATTGAAAGCCCATTAAATCCCATAGTGGGACGTAAACCCATGTCTTCTCAATATGAGGCTCAACTTCTGGAGTATTAGTCTAGTCTAGTGACACTGCTACTACACCACCATTTTCAAGTAGATAGATCATGTAGAGAATTTCATAAAAATCTATGAAATAGGAGTGAGTATGAGTTGATCATTTGGCCCCTCAATCTTCCCCTGCCATTCAATAAGATCATGGATGATCTGCCCAGGCCTCAACTTCTCTTTCACGTCAGCTTCTCAGAGCCACTAAGACCCTGATATTTCAAAAATCTATCTCCTCTTTGAATATTTCAGTGATCTTGCCTCCACAACTCTCTGGGATAGAAAATTCAGAAAATTCACTACCCTCTGGGAAAAGAAACTTCTCTGCATTTCAGTTTAAAATGAGCCTCCCCTTATTCTGTAACTATGATGCCTAGTTCAAAATGCTTCCACAAGTGGAAACATCAGCAATAAACAGTTAATAATACATCCAATAGGGTATTCAGGACAAAATTCTTCATCCAGACAGTGGGACTTCCTACCAAAGGTAATAAGCGAACTAATAGTATACATGCAATCATGGAGAAGCTTCAATTTCAAGATACATTGATCTTCTCAGCAGGTCTGGCAGCATCTGTGAAGGAAAAAACAGAGTTAACGTTTCGGGTCCCGAGTTCTGAGGAAGAGCTTACCGGACCCAAAACGTTAACTCTGTTTTTAACTTCACAGATGCTGCCAGACCTGCTGAGCTTTTCCAGCAACTTTGTTTTTGTTTCTGACTTACAGCATCTGCAGTTCTTTCAGTTTTTACATAGATCTTCTGTTGTGGTAAGTAAGGAATCAAAGAATATGTTGATAGGGCAAGTAGAAGAGTGGAAGAAAGCTCAGGTGGAGTTTAAACGTAAGCAATAATCCTTCAGGCGAAATGGCCTGTTTTTTTGCTATCATTTCATTTCAGTTACGATGATGTTTAAGTACGTAATAGTCGTTTTTTTTTTCAGCACATGCCAAAGATTTAAGTGAACGTATACCGAGAATCACCATTTGTTCATCACTTAGAATTATTACAATACCACACATAAGTAATACATGATTGCATCTCACCATAAAATTTAATTCACAATTAATTTTGTTTTAACGCATCAGTAGTTATTATTGTCCAAACTGCTTAATTCTTTAATCCATCAAAACCTGAGCACTAAGCCTCCAGGGGATTTGGGGTGAACAATGTGATGTCCTAATGGTATTACCTCTATTAATCCAGAGACCCATGTAAATGCTCTGGGAGTTCAAATCACGCCATGGCAGAATTCCATCATTTATATTCAATAAAAATCTGGAATTAAAAGTCTACTGATGACCATGAAATTGCTGTTGAGTGTTGGCAAAACCTGTCTGTTTCCCTAATGTCTTTTAGGGAAGGAAACTGCTGGCCTTAAGAATGTGATAACGTGAGTTCAGAGGCAGTATGTTCCTGTTAGTGTGAAGTGCAAGGCTAGTAAGTGTAAGGAATGCTGGATGACTACAGAAATTGAGGCTCTGGTCAAGAAAAAGGAAGCATTTGTGAGGTATAGACAGCTGGATACGAGTGAATCCCTAGAAGAGCATAAGGGCAATAGGACTATATTTAAGAGGGAAATCCGAAGGGCAAAAAGGGGACATGAGAAAGCTTTGACAAATAGAGTTAAGGAGAATCGAAAGAGATTCTATAAATACATTAAGGGCAAAAGAGCAACCGGGGAGAAAATAGCGTCCCTTCAAGATCAATGTGCTGTCCATGTGTGGAACCACGGGAGAT